TATTGGGTCACCAGGTCCAAAGGGAAAACAGGGTATTATGGGGCCGCCGGGTCCGAAGGGAAATCAGGGAATTATGGGGCCGTCGGGTCTGAAGGGAAGTCAGGGATTTATTGGGTCACCAGGTCCAAAGGGAAAACAGGGTATTATGGGGCCGCCGGGTCCGAAGGGAAATCAGGGACTTACGGGACCGCCGGGTCAGAAGGGAAATCAGGGATTTATTGGGTCACCAGGTCCAAAGGGGGAAGTTGGAATTGAAGGAGTCCCAGGTCCTAGTGGGAGCCCCGGTGCAAAGGGGGAACGCGGAGATTCCTTTTCACCTCCCACGATAGTGATCTTGCCGACGAAGCAAACAATCGCGGAATGGAATAGTGCAAGGTTCCAATGTTCTGTCGGCGGAAATCCCAAGCCAAGTGTCACATGGCTAGGAAAGAGCAGCACTCCTTTAAGAAGTCAGGATGGCAGATTAGATCTGCCTCACGTGACCTTTGATGACGCAGGAGAATACACTTGTATTGGAAGAAACTTGCTGGGCATTACAAGCCAGACTGCCACTTTGACCGTCGTAGAACGTAAGTTTCACTGTTTAATTTATGGATGGAAGGCGCAGTAAGTTTAGTGCATTGTCATTGAGATTGTCACGTAACTGGTCTGAGCCTGGCCTGGTTTGCTGCGCGATGTTTTTCTGTACTTCCCTTTCAGTGCTTTTCACCATTCAGGAGTATAGATGCATGTTTATATATTAATAAGTGGTGAAACCAGAGACAAAACTGGAGAACCTGCAACTGATTGCTTTTCTAGTCTTAGTACGCTGGACAAAACTGTTCCGTATCGACGTTTTACCTGAAAAAAATTAAAACAAGCAAATGTAAAATAAGAGTCGCAAATAATTATGTGGTTGTTTTAAACTTTATTAAATTCCACACATGGAAGTTGTTTCTATATCGATCACGCATGGAAGGCGTGCGTTACAGGCTATCCAAATTTGGTAACTGAATCGCAAAGGTATTCAAAATCATGTGATATCTCATTTGAAATGTTGTTCTGCGAAGAACATTGTTATGTTTTGGTGGATTTTTTTTTTTTTTTTAAACAAATAGGCAAGAAAGGGCGAGAAAGTCTTACAACTTAGTTTGCCAGTGAAATACGATATTGCCGTCAGACATTTTTTAGAGTCTTTAAACTGTTCTTGCCACTAGATTCGTCTTCACCTGTTTTGAATATGGAAGCCTGTAGCCCACGCTTCGTACAAGCCACAATTGCATAAAATGCTGTTGCATTTAAGCGTTGTCGGCCAGAAACTTATGAAACTGCTTTTTGTGCTTACAGTACAGCCCAAAAATAATGCACGCGCAAGAACTTCTTTTTGCGTCCGCAAGCCGTCAACTTCCTGCGGCTTCTTGCGGGTCGCTTGCGCTTAGATCCTGCAGGACGCAAGAACTTCTTTGCGGTTAGGAGTTAAAACCGCAAGAACTTCTTTGCGGTAGGATTTTCAAACCA